GGATTATCAATCATTAATGATTAATCATTACTGATATTAAAGTTGGGAACACTCCTAATGGAGCGTTAACTCACTGGTTAGACAGTTTAGACACTGCGCGGTTCTTTCTGAAATACGGAACACGCGCACATACGATGGCGTTAGTTTGTAGCGTTCTCAAGAAACCGATTGTGTGTATGTTGTGGTGTGTGTGTGTGCGTGCGTGCGTGCGTGCGTGTGTGTGTGTGTGCGTGCGTGCGTGCGTGCGTGTGTGTGTGTGTGTCACTGTGTGTGCGTGGCGTGCGTGGCGTGCGTGCGTGCGTGGCGTGCGTGCGTGCGTGGCGTGCGTGCATGCGTGCGTGCGTGTGCGCGCGCGTGTGTATGTCTTAATTATCAGACTCGTGTAACTTGAGCATGCTAACATACCTGCTGCAGAGCCGCTAGTTGCTTAACGGCGATCGCAATCGACTCCATTGCGCCTAACGTTCGATTCACATATTCAATTCCTCCCTGATCAAAACTCGACTCGGCCACCGGTTCACTCGTGTAGACATTGGCGATGGGGCCTCCGCTCGTCGTATTCGTGGCCGGGGTGCTGGTAGTGGTAGTGGTAGTGGTAATGGTAGTGGTAGTGGTAGTGGTAGTGGTAGTGGTAGTGGTAGTGGTAAACTGTGCGCATTGGATCATGCAACAGGCGAAGAGAAGCTTCAGAAGTGCGCGAGCCATGATAGCAGATTAACACAGTAATGCGCGCGTTCTCTTCTTGGTTCGTCTACGTTTCTATGATGTCTATAATGGCGTGTATAAGTATGATCTTTTCTATCCCGGACGTATGTACTGCATGCACCCTTTTTTAGAAATATACGACGGAATCTCCCGGCCAGTTATCTATCCGCTTCGTGCCTGGAATGCGTGGTGATGTGTTAGCTACCAGTTGGCACTCAGGATTGTCCCGGGTGTTTTCCAGGCCAATCTATATTTAAAGTTTAAATTGGAGCGTAGATAGCGGGGGGGATGGGGGGATGCATCCCCCACTTATTGACGTGGGGGGGGATGGCGTGTACAATCATCCCCCCTACTTTCAGGAGGAAAATGGAGGATTCAAAATTTTCTGGGGGAGGACCCGCATACCCCCGCTTGTTTCTTACCACCCTCCACGAAAACCTGCATTGGCCACTGTCGAGCGTAACAAATTGAGCACCCCCACTTCAAAAATTGTTCCCTGGCGCATTTAGAGTACTGCTAACAAAGATTATGATTATGAATATTATGAAGGGCGTAGATAACGGGGGGATGGAGGTATATCCCCCAACACTTATTGAGGTGGGGTGGCTTTCATCGCCCCTACTTTCAGGAAGAAAATGGGGAAAATTTAATATTTTACAGACAATAAATACTGGATATTTATCTACAAATCCGTCATCGCTATTCATACTCTCCTAATGTATTATTACAGAAATGGAACGTGACATACATCTAAAATGGCTGTAACTCGTTCCAAAAATGACATTATTTTACTGAAACTCAGACGGTTAATTTTGGACGCATTCCCCATATACGAAAATCCCGAAAGTCTTATCCCTGCTCACGAAAGTTAAATCCTTGCTTTATTCAAAATTAGAATAGACCCATTGAGAGTTGGGATATCGAATTTTCACGGGGATTGAATGGGAAAATTCAATTTCATCTCACTTTTTGGGGGGATGGGGGTGCTGAGACCCGACAGGTATATTCCCGATTTTGTATAAGGGGTTAGAATATGCACTTTTTGGTTCAAATCTGGTTGTTTTTCTCATATTTTTTTGCAGTTTTAACGTTCTCAGTAAAATATGTTTTATCAAAATTTCAGGGGGGAGATGATTCCAGTGCTGTAGTTGTCAACGGGGGGTCGGTAGCACGGGGCGGTCGCACCCCCCTAGCATTTTCATGGCAAAGGTATTTTAGCCCAGGTAAGCCTGCACTGGTAACCCCAGTGAGGACATGTACATAGGACAGATTTGGTAGTAAGCATTTTAGTCTTTGAAGTTTGGTGTCCCCAAAGGTAAAAATACTCAACTCAACAGTGATGTTATTGTGATGAAGATTGTTTAATAGTGCTGCCTCATAGTGCAGGAAATTGCATCGAAGAGATGTTACTTTTAACAAAATCTCCGGGACCCCCCTTAAATAGGAGGGGGACACGCCCTGAAGGAGGAAAATCCTGACGGACTACAAAGATACTACCGCATGTTTTGCTCCTGGCGCCACCCATTGGCAGTAATGGTAACAATCATAGTTATCTACACTGTGCACGTTGCTGTTTTGTTATATTGCGAAAAAGAACCTGTCCTGTGCGTTAGGTTTTACTTAGGGCCTGTGCGTTAGGTTTAGGTTAGGTGCGTGCGGTAATGGAACAGTCAAGAAGATTGTCACTTTTTACGATATCAATACATACATAACATAAAAGGTAAAATAGGCTGTAGACTTTTATATGCCCCTACAATTTGGCATTTAGGTTGTTCGCTGGGGTACTTTTTAATGAATTTGCTTTGAGTCACAGTAAAGCGACAACAAATAACACATAATGATAATAGTACGTTATACACGTATATTATCGTATCAGGACAAATACCCCCCGGACAATTACCCCCCATGCCATTTACCCCCCATTGTATGTATAGTGTTAGCGAAAGAGGGAAAAGAGTCGTGAAGGCCAAGGAAAAAAGGGGCTTTACAATTATCGTTGATAATGATCAAATAGGAAAGCATTGAAACAAAATCACTAATTAAAACTTGTGTTTTTCAGTGAAATGTATGAGCACCTTTTTTCAGAATATTTCGTACATTAAAGTTACAGACGCTAGAGGGAACAGAGCTAGCTAAGCTCGGGGCAGAGCTATCTAAGAACTTATTTCCCCTATACCACACTATACCTTTTGCTCTAGTGATTGCAGAGTGCGCCCCATCGCCCCAATTTGCTTCTCGATTCTTGCGACTCTGTCGTTGATGATGGTGACGATGGCGAAGGTGGCGCCTATTTGTGCGTTGCTTCCGCTGTTTGCCGGTTGCTCCTGGGTAATTACGTCACAATTACGGCACTTGACAATGTCAAAAACCGCGTATTCAATAAGCGAGGACACGTGGAGATCTCGCCTCGTTAGAAAGATGTACTACGCATGCGGTTAGCCACGACCAATGTAAAACGTATTACACTTACAGTGGTTACCGCTTAATCGGGGCAGATAGAAACCATTAATATGTATATATGATTATTATTATTATTGTTATTATATTATTATTATTATCTGGCTCTGTCCAGTGTCATGGCTGTGACCAGCGTCATGACTGTGATCTGCGTCATGACTGTGATCTGAGTCATGACTGTGATCTGCGTCATGACTGTGATCAGCGTCATGGCTGTGATCTGCGTCATGACTGTGATCAGCGTCATGACTGTGATCTGCGTCATGACTGTGATCAGCGTCATGGCTGTGATCTGCGTCATGACTGTGATCTGCATCATGGCTGTGATCTGCATCATGACTGTGATCAGCGTCATGGATGTGATCTGCGTCATGACTGTGATCTGCATCATGGCTGTGATCTGCATCATGGCTGTGATCTGCATCATGACTGTGATCAGCGTCATGGATGTGATCTGCGTCATGACCGTGACCAGCGTCATTGCTGTATTCAGCGTCATGACTGTGATCTGCATCATGGCTGTGACCAGCGTCATTGCTGTATTCAGCGTCATGACTGTGATCTGCATCATGGCTGTGACCAGCGTCATTGCTGTATTCAGCGTCATGACTGTGATCTGCATCATGACTGTGATCAGCGTCATGGCTGTGATCTGCGTCATGACTGTGATCTGCGTCATGACTGTGATCTGCATCATGACTGTGATCTGCATCATGACTATGATCTGCATCATGACT